TCTTTGGACAATGTTTTGAGTAAGTCGTCCACAAGAATTGACCACAGCATTGGAGATAATATTCCTCCTTGTGGGCAGCCCCGTGTAACTCTGACTGTATGGTTGCCTTTCCTAGAGTGTATAAAATAATCCTGTTCTCTAGACAGGCAGTGATCCATTGGCATATTGTAACTGGGACGTTTCTCTCTTCTAGAACCTTGGTTATTGACCTGGTTGAGGCATTGCTGAAAGCTCCTTCAATATCTAAGAAATTGGCTATTGCGATTTATTTGTCATCTATTGACTTTGAAAGCAGCCTGTTTAGATCGTCCAGCGCTAGGTCAGTTGACTTTCCTGGCTAGTATGCATATTGGTTGGGGTGGAGCGGATTTATTTTTAGTATCTCGTCCCTGATATACCTATCTATCAATCTTTCTAGGGTTTTAAGTAGGAAGGAGGATAGGCTTATGGGGTGATATGACTGGCGTTTGGTCTGTGACCCTACCTACTTTGGCAAGGTAGACTACTTTCGCCTTTTGCCATATTGCTGGTATATATCTCCAGGCAATACATGCTCTGAAGATTTTGCATGAATGTGGCATTAACACATCTTTACCCTTCTGGAGCAGAATTGGATATATTCTATCCGGCCCCGGGGATTTGTATGCCTTAAATTTGTTGATAGCCCAACTAATCCTGTGTGTTCTTGTGATCTCGGAGGCCAGCTTCCAGTCTATTGGAGTTGGTCCGATCCCCTTGTGACTGTAGCTCTCTTGGTCTCCTGAGTCTAGTCCTGTTAAGATAGTTTAGACCCGAAAGTGTACCTGAGCTAGTATCTCCAGACTTTCCTCTAGTGTCGTGGTGTAGGTATCATCCTCTTTTTTGAGGAATCCCACTTGACTAGATGTACTGTCTTTGGCTATAACTCTATGGATTCTAGCGCTGGCGGTGTTCTCTGAGACCTCTTCGCAGAACTTCCTCCATGAGTTTCTTTTAGCCTTGCGTACTTCCTTGTTATATACAGTAGTCCAGTCTTGTGTAGATTTGGCTCTGTTGAATAGCCTTCGCACCTCTTTTTCGGGACAGTTTTCTTGGTAGGTATCAGTAATTGCCTTGTTTACCAAATCTACTGTCCTTTCGAGTGTTTTTGTTTCTCGTACATTGGTGGTTTTATCCTCGTCTCTCTCGGATTTCTAAACCTGTCTGCTGTACGAGTTGGACATTGTATATGGAATCGGATATGTCTGTGATCTGAACACGATGGTTCATCGAACACATGCCAGTCCCTGATTTGGACATTTGTGCCTCTCGAACACATGGTCATATGTAGAACTTCTTTTCGGATGGAAGTGACAAAAGTTGGTTTGTTGCCTTTATTGGCAATTTCTAACCCTTCACCTAGAATGAATTGTAATAGTGACTCACCTCTTGTATTGATGTTGGTGCTTCCCCAGATCGTATGGTGTGCATTCATATCGCAGCTTATTATGTGGTTGAGTTCCTGCTCCTCGCAATGGGCAATGAGGCAATGATTCTGCCTAGTATTGCTGGTGGGCATATTCTCTCCTCTCCCGGGAAGTAGACGAAGCATACAACATAGCTCTTCTCTCGTTCTTCCGTTTGGATTGATAGCATAGCTGTAACAAAATCACTGGTGAAAAGCACCGGTATTAGTGTACAATTAACCCTGTTGCTGTAGATTTTACAAGCGCGGTATTTTTCATTCCCTTTGCTGTACAATAGCTTACCTTGTTGCGGTTTTAGTCCCGCGACTTTTCCACAAACAAGCCAAGCTTCCTGCAGGAGGGCTATATCCTTCCGTGTCGAACGTCCTACATATGGCAGACGCTGCCTTAGCATGCTGGACGTTCACCTGCAGGACCTTTATGCCCCGCTGTGGCTCGTTGAAGGCGCCCTGAGATCTGCCCTTTGATCTTCCTCTAGCTCCATTGGGGAAGCCGACTCGGGGCTTTGTGGCCTTTTGAAAGGGGTTCTGCCAATTTTGGTAAAGGTGTCTGGCGGACTTTTTGCCTTTGTTTTTGGCGAAGTTCGTGCTTTGAGCGGGTGGCATTCTGGAGTCTGGTGTTTTTTTTTTTGGTCCATTTTGGCCTTGACCTTTTGCACCACCAACTTTGTTTTGGAGCCTTTTTGGACCCGTTTTACCCTGTTCCTCTCCTTTTCTTCATGTTCCATTTCTCTGAGATGGAACTTTATACGTCCCGTCCCAAAGTATGGTAACATGTCCAGCTTCTGGAGTTCGGTATATGACCCTTCGTCCACGGAGATGGCCCACGTCTGGCCTTTCTCCATTGGAGTTTCGGTCAGAACCTTCCGGAGGTTGATTTTAAGGGTGTTGTTACTGACCCTCAGTCTGTAAGGACTCTTTGGGCATCTAGCCTCTTTTCACCCTCGTCTGCTATGTACGTTGTACATATCCTTGGTTTTGGGATGTCGATGTACTGCCGAGCCTCGAGGGTTGCACCCTCATAGGGCCTAAGCGTGGGCACCACATCTTTTAACCATTGTGCACAACGTACTACAATGTATCCCGGCCTGTGTGTGCATTTGGTAAAACGCACCTGTGGCCCTCCCATGATGATACCTTCGTAGGCACTTATGATTGAATCTTCGACAGCTGTTTGCTACTTCGTTTCCATAAGTGCCTCTGGAAAGCCGGTTCTCACCACCGCGATCTTTGTAGTGGTAAGGGCCTCTTTGAAGGTTACCCCTTCAATTTTGGCCTTCTTTTCCACTTTCCGGTCTGCAGGGGGAGTGTCCTTCCGATCTTGGCCTTTTTGTCATCTTTTTTTCGACCTGGCTGGCATCGGTAGTCGAAGTTTGAGGTGGCTTAACTTGGGATCTGACAAAGTTTTCCTTATTTATGCCTCGTTTGGCAGCAATGAAATCATGGCCAGATTTTACCAGGTTGTTTAGCCTTGCTCTAGTTCGACCGGATATGACAAATAATCTGACTTCTGTGTCTGACAGTAGGAGGTTAATCTCCTCTTAGGAAATGACCCTTCTGGATTTGGGCCTTTTAGATGTTGTTGGCACATTTGTCTGGTCAACTTCCGTGGCCTGTTTCGCTATCTCTGGCACTTCTGCCTGAGATTGCTCTTGTTCGACTACTGCTGGTAGCACATTTGCCTGTTCAGCAGTAGAGGTTTCCGAGTTGATTGTATTTTCTAGGTCCATATTGTTCCCACGAGTAGTTGAGGAAGGATGCGTCAACCCGTCCAGCGCCCTACCTTACCTCCTACCTTTCTTTATAGAAATTTCAACACAAGTACAAACGTGTTTATACCTGTATTGTATATAATTTAGTGTAGCATTGGCCTGGCAGGTTCTTTTGCTTTACTAACCTCCAAAGTGCTCATGAATAAGGATTCGACGTAGACAGGAGCAAAAAGATTCTTTAGACATTATGGATTATAGCAGTGGCGGCTCGTTTGGGGGTTCACAGTGACAGAATATGGGTATCAGTACAGATGTATAAAAAAAAACGTTCAATGTTTTAGAAAGTTTGTAATATACCTTTTTAAAACACTGATAGTTTTTTACCTATATCTCTACTGGGGTCTATTTTCTGCTACCGTGAACCCCCAAAATTTTGGTCACAAGCCGCCCCTGGATGATAGCCACATCCTTTATGGACCAGGCATCGACTATTCAGTGTGAGATAAGCCGATAAAACTCGCTTATGAACGTTTTATTCCAAATTTTTAGTGTTCAAAACTTTAAGCGTTTTTCCCACGCACGTTTCCATAGTCGGTGCCCATCATAACTTCAAAACTACTGCACGTCTCCTTTTAAAATTTTGAACACTATTTCTGTACATCATTTACGAGGTAAAGCTAGAGTTTTTTCAATTTATTAAAATTTTTGTATTTTATAATAACAAATTAGCCTATTTTTTCCGCAAGAATCGCAGTGTTCCCAAAAATTGAAATTTTCCAAAAAACCCTCCCAGCGTTACCTGGAAAAAACGATTATCTAACGAAATAACTTAGATTTTTTTTATTTCTGATGGTCCACCACCGAGTTAGGAGGGTCACCGTAATTCTACTTTCTTTTCGAGATGCTTCCGAATAATGGCTGCCATATCCGTATTTTTTAATATTTCTACATAAAAATTTGACACAATATTCTCCGAATGTTATACTTTAATGTACCGTTAGTTTAAATAAACAAAATTTTAACTGTGTCGTCAAAAAAAATTCACAAAAATGTGCCTTTTTGCACGAATTAACCTACCCCCCCCCTTAAGAATTTGCTGATTTGGTATCCCCACATTTTGGGTAAAACCGAAAAAAAAATTAACTAAAAATTGCTGCTAATCGTTATCGAAATTGACGATAAACCTGTTAATATACTATCAATGATATTACGGATATATTTTTCTCCACGACTATGTGATAATAAGTTGATTCTTAATACATTTTTAGTTTAGGTATGATATACATTCTTCCACTAGTTGAAGAATGTAAACATTTTTTTAACTAGTGGAATAATGAAATCAATCAATCACAAACTACAAAATAATATAACATCATACTTATGCCTAATAGAAATTCGCTAATACATCAATATCAAAAAAATGGATTTAAACTGACTGTGTTTTAGATTTTACAATTATTACGAAGTTTTTTAAACAAAATAATGGATTCTGAAAATTTTGAAAGTGATAATATACTATAATAGTCGTGGAGAAAGTATAGTCTTCAACTCGCATAGAATATGGCTATTATTCCATGCTTGTTGAAGAATATACTATTACGATGTTGTATGTCTTAATTAAATTAAAAAAAAAACGTATGGGACCTTATATTTTTTATTTATATAAAAGCTAACAGATCATTTAATTATCTTACATATCAGTTACATACTGTATGTGTACTTTATAACAAATACCTTTTATTAAATGTATAAATACAAACAAAAATAGAAAATAAAATCGATTATTACAAATAAAATATTAAACATAAATATAGAATTTTTCCTAAAAATAGTTAAAATTTTGAGGATGCCATAATTTCAATCTTACCAAAAAAATATTATTTTCTTGGAAAAACATATATCACAGAAAGAAAATGCAGATTAAAACTTTTAGAATTGGGCCTTAGAACGGTGTAAAGGAAAAAATATTCATAAAAATTCATTTTTCTACAATCACTATCCAAAGTAGACTTTTCCGTTTCGAAATCCAACCGCAAAGTTGACGTTTTCCGCAAACTGACATTAAGTGGCAGCTTTGTTGCTCGTATAATTTAAATTAGCTATAATAAAATAATATTTCTTTTTAATAAGTGATTTTTTCAAGTTATGTGTACGTAGTTACAAGATTTTTGTTATATTATCCAAGCTTGAATATCAACTGCTTTTTTCATGATTAACGTAGGTATAGGCAACACATTATACACTACTTACGACAAATTTTCAGTTTTTATACCTATTTCTTAAAAAAGTATGATCGTAAAAAAATCTTGTGTGCATTTTGAGCCAAAAGTTTGTTGCTGATTTCTGTCTCAAGCGACAAAGTATCACTTTTCGCTCTTAATACACAAATAGCTATTCTACAGGGTGTTTCAAAAAGATTGGTCATAAATTATAACACGTATTCTTGGGTCAAAAATAGGTCGATTAAACCGTACTTACCTATATACAAAAGTGCACCCAAAAATTAAGATAAAAATTTAAATGAATTTTTTTAACGTTGCTCTTAAACCGTTCGACATTTTTTCATGAAATTTTATATGACGTGTTGGAATACCATGACTAATAAAATCGAGGTAGAGGCAATACATTTTTTTTTATTTTTGTAGGATTTTGGAGGGTGTCACCACCCTTTTCTCTACTCAACTTCTTTGTAATATAAAATGTTATTAAAAATCGAACGCTACTGAAATGCAACATCTATTTGGAAACTTTTTAGTCTCCTAGTATTTGTTTTTAAAATGTTTGGTTTAGACGATACAGCCACTTAAAATGACATCTTAAAAAAATTCAATGTAAATTATACGTATGCAAAATATCAAAATTCGATTTTCATTGTTAAAACTATGTACTAAGTGTATACAGGAGGAAAATGTAATTTTGAACACCTGTTAAATTAATTTTTTTTATTTTGATGACATTAGTTTGTAAATTAAAAATTAACTTGATTTTGAAATTTTTCTTACGTAGAATTTCCATTGAATATTTTTAAGTTGTCATTTCAAATGGCTGTAACTAAACTTTTTACCAACAAATACTAAGAGACAAAAAAGTTTCCAAATGGATGTTGCATTCCAATGGCGTTTCATTTGTAATTAAATTTTATACTACAAAAAAGTTGAGTGGAGAAAAGAGTGGTGACCCCCTCCAAAAACCTATAAAAATCAAGAAAAAAATATTGCCTCTTCCTTGGTATTATTAGTCATGGTATTCTAACACCTCATATAAAATGTCATGAAAAAATGCCAAACGGTTTAAGAGCAAAGTTCAAAAAATTCATTTAAATTTTTATCTTAACTATTTTTAGGTGCACTTTTGTATGGGCGTGCATGAACTGGGCACTATAAAAACGATATTGCAAGGGTTGGCTCAGGTGCCTGCGAATTTTTTTACGAATTGGGCACCCCAGACAGCACACGACGTCCATTGGACGTCCATATTTTGTCCAAATAATGTCCTGGATGTCCATGAACTTTATATGGATGTCCATTGGACATCCATTTTCTGTTATCCAATAGATATACCCATTCAGACGTCCAATGGATGTCCAATAAATGTCCATGATGGACACTATAAAAATGACTAACTTATAATAAATTATTATAATTCTTCTTGTATAATTTAATTATTTACAACGTTTTAATTAAAATAAATCAATTAATTTTCCTCTCCTAACGCCTCTGTTGACAAGATAAAAAAAGTAAAAGGCCATTCAGACCAGACTCGAAGAAGAAAGAGGTTAAGAAGAAAACATCCCACATGTAGCCCATGGAGACTACACAAAGAGCACACACTCAAGTGTGGCATTTGCCAGAGTATGTCCGCGCTTTATCGTATAAATAAAGCTTTCTTTTTTCACCACTAGCGTCGCTAATTTTTCTTTTGTACCGGTGTGAATATAGAGGAATAAACAAATGTGAAGTTAGCGTGAAAATAAAGTAACCGATTATTTAATTAACGTAAACACATGTCAAATGTTTTTAAATGAAATAAATATAATTAGAGTTATAATTAATTAATAATTAATTAGAATTATTTATTTTATTTCAAACTACCGCCTCATTCTCTTATGCCATTTTGGTACTTATGGAACACTAGCGCCCTCTTAAAATACTCTGTTTAACACAGTACCCTTGTTATACATGGAGTGCGTGCTCCTTGTGTAGTCTCCATGATGTAGCCGATAGATAACGTTTATTTGGTAAGAAAATAAGTATAATTAACATTAAATTATTTAAAAATTCAAAAATTAAGAAGCAAATCGTTTGTTTTAAACTAATATAACCTATCAATTATATTTTAAACTTTTTATTTTCGATTTACATTCAAAGAATCCCTTTCTTTTAGACCTTTTGTCAAACGATTTACCTACCTATTTAAGAAAATGGCTTTACTAAAAGCTAACTAATATGCTGCAAATTCGAGATGATGTCAACACAATTATTATTGTAACTAAGAGGTGAGAAAACTTTCAAAGGAGAAGAAAAAAATTCAAGTTTCTATTTGTATGGCATGAGACGTTAGCAGAAGAGGCTATTTAGAAGATACAAATATTTTTAAAGAAGCTGTAAGTTTTACTTTTATTAAATAAAATAGAATCGTTTTGTAACGTTTAAGAAATAATGCATTGAAAGTGGTTTCATAAGTTATTTCTCTTTAATGTTCACAAATACATATTTTTATTGCAATTTTAGATTCAGCAGTTACCAAAACCAGGGACAAGGACATGACGAACTTATAAAAAGATGTTTTGTTTCCATATTTTTCTAATATCCTCTCGAAACAATTCGCATAATATGATGGTATGAAAGTAAAATGGTAATTTAAAGAAATAATGAGCAGTTTTTTGTTTATATGTAAGTATAGAGGTAAAGTACATTAGTCAATGCATATTTTCATATTAGTTAATAACATTTTATCTAAAAGTTTTACATTTTTAACTATCAGTTTTGCCTGATCAGGCGTGTATTAAACGATTGATTTAAGACACAATATTCGTATAAAATGTAATGTCTTTTTTTAGCTGCTGCTGAGAGTGACAATGGTGCTGCTTAAAAAGTAAGCGAAATAGCCTTAAGAAAATGGCTAAGAAGGTCAACAGAAAGGAGTGCGTATAAAACTAATATATGCTTGATATTATTTATGACAATAAAAATAAGTCAATAGTTGCAATTAATTTATTTCATATTAATATAGGTGGTGATGTCCATCAGATGTCCATAAATTGTCCAAAAGCAATACAAAAAGAGTCCATAGATGGACCTTTCATGGAGTCCAAATGGACGTCCAGGAGTGGGACATTTGTATAGTCCAGTGGATGTCAATTGGATGTCCTTTGGTAAAATGCTGGACGTCCTTTGGACAGCCGATATGTCCATGAATGGACTTCCGATGGACATCCAATGGATTGACTTGTGCTGTCTGGGACTGGCCATGTGATTATACCTTTCCAGCCCCCTCACCTAAATAATTTTCTAATATGTTCCAAAATCAAATTAGTGTGGGTAATAATCTTAAATTTTAAATCTTCTTGGGATTATCCCTTTCGAACCCCTCCTCCTAAATAATTTTCTAATGTTTTAAACACAATCAAATTTGTATAATAAGTAACAAAACCTCAAAATCAAAAATTAGTTCTTATTATATCTTCTTTTTTAGTAAGTTCTTGTATTAGACGAATCAACATTTAATTTTTGCAAAATTTAAAAAATAAAGAGATGTTTGGCGATGTACTGTGACAAGTTGTAAAGCCAAAGCATAGACTTTGGATGAAGAAAAGGCAATTTCTAGAAGTGAATTAACACATGATCATGTCAAAGATGTTAAAGTTCTTTCATTACAATATTTATTATTATTTATTGAACTTGTAATAATAAAGTAGTTTTGAAATGAATCAGAATTTTTGGTATTGGACAGATAAATTTGTTTCCATTTCAAAGGGTCAACATGAGTGTCACTAGGTAAGCCTAATTCAGTACGGTTTGCGATTTAGGATCTCCCGCCGAGGCGCCAGTCAAAAAAGTGTTAATTGAAGGTGCCCAGTTCAAGTAGTAAGCAAATGTTTAATCCTCTATCGAGTGTGCAGTTCGAGTAATTCTTTTATATTCTCAGGTAGATAGTGCCCAACGAGGCTGCCCTTTTGTATATAGGTAAGTACGGTTTAATCGACCTATTTTTGACCCAAGAATACGTGGTATAATTTATGACCAATCTTTTTGAAACACCCTGTATAGTTTACAATCAACAGTGGTTTAACCGAGTTCAACTAACTCATCAATGTACAGTTTTTATTTCCTTATAATAATCCTAAGAAATATACAAAATTCACTTTGTGTCATAAAAAAAAGTCCTAGTTATATATTTTTTACATAAGAAACAAATATTTGGCGATAATTTTACGTTTTAAATCACATTATTATAATTATGATTATTTTTAATAAATTAACCGGCCTAATTTACAAAATACATAAAATCATGGGACATATCCAAGAATTTTTATAAAATGAAAACAACATTGCATTATCTACCTTATACTACAAAAATATACATATATAACTTGGAATTGATATTAATATTAGTTTACGACACAAACAGGGCGAAAAATTGTGTAATGTCAAGGTCTTGCTTAGTAGAAGAGTCGTTAAAACAAAAAATAACCGTTTAGTGAATGATCGAAAGTGTAACGGTAAATTTTACCGTTACATCGATTTTAAAAATTTAGTTATTTTATAACCTTCTAATTCGTACTAGTTGTTCCCACGTCTAATCGTCAAAATAAAATAACTGTACTTATCGATTTGTAAAATTTTGGAAGGTTTTTTCGTTATATTCGAAAGAGATACAAAATATTTTCTGGAATATTTATTATTTTTAAGACTTTAAAAAGGTCAACACAGCCTTCTGTCACATTGACATTAATTTGTTTTCCCAGTATCCCCTGTACTTTTGGGGAAGGCTGCGTTTATTTTAACCGAAACCTAGTTCACAGTAGTGCCACCAGGGTTTTGAACCTCACTTTTAATTGTTTACTTTTAGAATATCGCACGTGTCAGCCAGGTATAGTAAAAGCAGCTCATAGAGAGCCCGAAGGGGCAACCAGCCACCCCACAGTCTTCAGGGACGACAGAGAACTAACTGAGCCACAACAGGAAACATTATTTGCGAAGAGGGCTAGGGAAAAGCTCCAAAAAGAAAACAAAAAAGCACTTTCAATAGACACCAGCGGCCGGCTGCAGGTCCTCCGGATCTTCAACCAGCCCAAAAAGTCCGATCACCTTCAAGCTGATGGTAACATCCTTATAAACATGTGAGTTCCCCAAAGGCAAAGGAGCAACAAAGAACATCACAGAGACAGAAGGGATTTTCAATACAGGTCCCAAAAACCCTCAGAAAAAAAAAACAAAAAAAAGGTCAAAACACCAAAGTTCTAGTAGAGATTTGCACCAACCTCCAACATCTAAGCAAATAAAAAGTACAAAAAACAACCTAGAAATGTTCGCGGGAAAAACGGAAGAAAACAATGCTTTCTGCACATCACCCCAGAAAATTGCCCAAGGACATCAAGACAACTTCCCAATGATGTCGGGATACTCACCAGACAATGACCCAACATTACGATAAAATTCACTGATGAACTCGACAGTGCATATGGTATCGCGACTATAAACGCGGAAACAAGTGCGAACACACGTGAACAGTACGAAAAGGACGCCATCACGGACTCAACCCTACATAGTGCCAACTTAATGCTAAAAAAAGAGATAGTGCGATAAGTAACCAGCGGAGTGCCGGTAACAGACGACCAAGTCAAAAACTTCGAATCGGCCTACAAAACCCTCGCGTTGCCGAGTGCGGTTACTGCGACGGTACTAAATTTCGGACATAATTACTCCCCTTGACATCAAGCGAAGATGAGAGAGGAAAACAATTCAACTTCGACAACAAAACATTACTTCCCAAACGGAAAAATATTTCGCCGGTCAGTCAGGAACAACAAACTAGCCAAAATGAACCACAAAAAAAAAACAAAAAATTCAGAACGAATTTCATTAAATTGCTAGAACAGAAAGCAGCGACAACTATTCCAACCAAAAACAGGTACCAAGTAATTAGTGACACAGAAAGTGATTCAGAAAATGAACCGAAGTCAAAAAACACACTACGAAAGGAAAAGCCATCCTAAATATACCAATAAAGGGAAACTCTACAATACAAAAACAAAATGGAGAAAAAGACTGAAAAAACAAACCAAAATCGAAAGACAACATCCCCCTATAGTGATAGACACCAGCACAGAATATCACAGTAATCTCTCAAGACACCACACCATACATATACCAGTAAAGCGGACTAAACCCACGCCTTAGTACTCCGAGGAATGGCTAAGGGTACTGAGAAAAACCTAATAGTAGAAGACCTCAGGGAAACTTATCAAATCGAAGTAAAAGAAATCTTTCTAATGTCCACAAAATTTAGACCCATGTACCTTATCGTAACAGACCCAGCAATAACCCTGGAATACCTTAACAAAACCGGCAGGGTTATTGAAAATACCCGAGTAACCTGGGAACAAATAATTCAGTGCCACAGGTGCCAAGCGTGGGGCCACGCGACAGCAAATAGTGGCCGTCCCCCGAAGTGCGCAGGAGACCACCTTACTAATACCTGTGTAAAAACCAGGGAAACACCCGCTACATGCGCTAACTGCCACGGGGACTACCCAGCAAACTACACAAAATGCGAGGCATACTTAGAAAGGGCCTCGAGGCTTGAAGAAAGAAGACTTTATATCATTATTAAAAAAGAACTGACTTTCAAAGGAATCCCTAAAATCAATATATCGGATAATTTCGAGCACATCATTATAGAGGTAGGTAAAATTATTTTCATAGGTGCTTATAATCCGCCCAGAGTAACAATATCAGGTAGTGATCTGCACAGACTAATGTCAAGAGGAAACAGGGTTTTTCTAGCAGGGGACCTTAATGCTTAACATGAAGAATGGCACTCTCATTGTGCGTACGACGCAAGCAGCAGGGTATTGAGAGACTTCACCGAGGACAATTACCTTATAATACACTATACTGAAGAACCGACATACTTTCCGACTAACTCTACATTTAGTCCCAGTACACTGGATATCGCTGTGACGAAAAATATCCCCGACATAAGGAACATAACTACCCTTAACTCCGACCACGATCCAGTGTACTTGGAAATATGGACAACAAATAAACAATCTACAAACTGGAACAAATACAGAAACAAATTTGACAATTACATAACAATTAACCAACATCCAGTCTGCAGATGATTTAGAAAACGAAACAAAAACAATCATTCAAAATATACAAAAAGCTTGAGCCGAAACAACAACAGTAAAAACACATTCACAACACTATGACACACTGCCAACCGAAATCACTGACTTAACCACGAACAAAAACAGACTAAGAAAAAAGTGGCAGCTACACCGGCAAAATGACGATAGAGACGTGATGTTAAATCTCGCTACTAACATTAACTCTATGATTAGAAAATATAGAAACAATAAATGGCAAAAAACCCAATCGGAATTGAAACCGGAAGACAATTCTTTGTGGACAGTAGTGAAGAAGTACAAAAAACCCTATTCGCTGCTCCCCACTCTGAAACGAGGACAAGACTTACCAGAGACAGACGAAGAAAAAAGGTCAAGCCCTCGGTGAATTTTTTCAAGCTTAATTTACAAACAACCAGGTCAATAACCCTGAACAAATGCGCATCGAAAACATAGTCGATGTTTTCGAGCAAACAGAACCACATTTAGTGCCCCATTCTTTTCTAACCACTCCTAGAGAGGTATGTGAGGTAATTGTCTCAAAAATAGAAAAGCTCCGGGACCGGACGATATTAGTAACATATTGCTTAAAAACCTTAGCAGAAAAGCTATCGTGCAGATCTACCACATAATAAACGCCATTTTCAGACTACAACACTATCCTAGTAGTCTGAAAGAAGCAAATATAATACCAATTCTTAAACCTGGAAAACCGGGAAACAATATAGACAGTTACCACCCCATATCATTACTCAACACACTATCAAAAATAACGGACACAATTATACTAAAACGCTTAAAATCAACAAAACAACGTATGCAGATTATCCCACGGGAACAATACGGTTTCAGAGAGGGGCACAGCACTGTAGCCCAGGTTCTGAGGATCGCAAATCATGCCAAAGAGGCATTTAATCAGGACCTGCAAACGGTGCTTGTGGCGCTTGATAGCGAGAGAAAGCATTTGATGGACCCGCGGGTTAATCTACAAAATGCTTTTGAATTACTTTCCTGGGCACATTGTTAAAATAATTTTGTCATATCTTACGGACAGATAATTCAATATTAAAATAAACTCCACAATAACAGGACCTTTCCTAGAAATTGCTGGAGTACCACAGGGTTCAGTACTATCGCCGCATTTGTACACTATTATGACCAATGGGACATAATAGAGTACAAAAGGCGCTGTACGCCGACGGTATCTATGAATTTACTAGCCACAAATCAGCCGAAACCTCGAACAGAAAACTGGATGACCATATTAATGGACAGTAGATGACTTATTTAGCCGAAAATAAAATGAAAATTAATTCCAATAAGACTGAATCGATGTTAATTACAAAGAGGCGTGCCCAAGGTATTGACACGCCCCTTTTAATCCAAAACCAGCCAATCACGGTAAAACGCGAAATAAAATATCTTGGTTTTGCTGGACAAGGCATTACTAACGTTCTTGACCCACATAAAAGACAGAATTGCCAAAAAGTTGGGTATTCTGAGGTCCTTGTACCCATTAATGAATAGACGAAGTCGGCTGTCTCTGTCGAACAAACTTTTATTATTTAAAACAATATTTAGGTCAATTCTGACATATGGTTGACCGCTATGCTAGAATACGAGACATTCACATGACTACAAATATGCCCATGATTAAAGATTTCGTGATTCAGACGGCAGAAAACTTTTACGCGAGATGCCTCCCTGATGAATTGAGCATCATGAATATTTATCATGACCCATGACAGTTCCAACTATACTAAACAATAATTCACACGGACTGGATATTTACAAGATCTAGTCCGACGGAGGACTGAGCTATGAACTGTAGACAGGGCCTCAGCCTAATAATCATGAACAAATTTAAGGACAACCCTGTTTTTTCACGCGCTTTTTCAGGGAAAAACACACTCACAATTAACCACACACACAGCTTTGAATTAAGAGAATTACCGTTTTTTAAACAAACACAACTAAACCGATATATAATATCACGTGAGATAAGGAGATATCGATAAAAATTTCAAAGATTAACAGCGTTATATGATCGTTTGGGACAAGACGTCGTTCAAGGCTTCAGGTGGCAACACAGGGATCCAATGGGCGAAAACACTTGACTGAAAAACATTATGTGACGATGTAGATAACTATTTTTTAAAAAATGAATAAAGATCTTTTTATTATTATTATTATTATTATCATGAACAACAGTACACCTATTGCTGTGAATAGGTACAGTCGACACAGAGTCCACGCGAATTTGATCAGTACTATCAGTGACAGCTGTTAAACCTCAAAAATTCTTATTTTGTATTTTCTAAGTAACGTCTAGGCAGGTAAAGTAATCAAAGTATCGGTAGTGTTCCGTGAATGTCGGAGCCCACCGGGCCTCCTATAATATTCCACCCATCACCCACAAGAGGATTCAGCACTGAATATACGAGAAAGTTCAAGAACAAATGCCGGCTTAAACACTCTCAATACGACAGAATATTTAAACTGACGTCGCCCAAGTCGGTTAAAGCCAAAATAAAGCGTACTGGACAAAAATATGTGAGTACCAACACATTAGAGTTGTTTCAAGATTCCGATAACGAAACAAGAGAATCCAAAGCCCCCCATGCCGAATTTCCCAAAATTCGACCTTCAAACGACCCTCAAACAACTAGAGAGACAGTGAATACAGAAAATATCGCAAAAGGGGACACAAACGCCACAAGAAAGCTCTCAGTGGCTGACTCGGGAGACTCTATTGAATACCACGACAGTGTAGAAAGTCTAAATGACACCTAATATGACAACTTAAACTCTGACGAAACTATAAATACATCAGAAGAGTCAACTATTACTAGTCCAATGGATACCACAACTGGAAAAGAACCTGGTGAAAAAACCCCGGATAAATTTGAGAAGCATTACCAAACTGACCCGAACTCACTGCTGGGCAGAACAATCACACTCCCTATCCCGACGAATGTGATGGCAAATCTTCTCAATTTTCAAACAAACCAACTCGATGAACCACCAAAAATTCGTGCCATTCATTTAGCCATGGGCAGTGCGGAAAACACCCTAAAGAGTGGCGAACTGAGTAACTGCTCTGAAGGGAAAGTTACCGTACCCCCAACCACCTCAAACATCACCAATACAGGGGCTAGAAGTCGCACCACTACCAGAGTCGAACCTAGATACATCACTAGAATAAACAGCGATCCAAGGATCAAAATTCAGGCACTAAACCGAAAGTGTGGCAAGTAACATTCACGAATTTGACCCAAATAATATTACTTCAGAAGAAGAACCTGCCAAGAAAAATCGTGTTGAATTTTTTGACCACCTTCCTCACTCCCCGAACAGTCTGTTCGAACGCAGAAACGAAAGGGATCGTGGGAGGTACGAACTAGAAAATAGGATGGATGAAGACCAACCCCCTGCAAACAAATCAAACGAAGAGCCGTTTCTTACTCCCAAAAAATTTAGTAGAAATTTTTGAAAACCTGATAAAGGAAAAATCCAGGAAAACACACGAATACTAATAATAAATTTCAGCCACTCACAGATGACTCCGAATCTGATACGGATGACGACATAGGCAAAATAGTTAAGAAAAGGAAGAAAGGGACCAACTTTAAGCCACTAGACATAGAAAATCTACCTAAGGAGAGAACTAACACCAGACATGTATCCAACACAAATACCGTAAAAGCTACGAACAAAAATAAAAACATGATGCCGCCTATAGTCAAAGACGGCAGAACCTCAAATCAGATAAATCTTATACAAGATTTAAAAGGTATAGTCAAAGGGGAATTTAGTGTCAAACACACTAACTATACTACTATCATTTTTGTTGAAACAAAAGAAGACTATGAGAAAGTGTTATCTAATATCAAAACTGAAAAAATGCCTTATCACACGTATACCCCACGTGATGACAAAACTCATGCTTTTGTCCTGAGGGGACTCGCCCGGGGGACTAAAATTGTAGACATCGAGCAAAATCTGGAGGAGGAGCATGAAATAACAACGAAGGCTATCTACAAAATGAATACCAAAGAATGACCTTTATATTTAGTGATCACAGACCCTGGACTACCTCAATAAGAATACTAAAAGAGTTCTCTATACCAGAGTCACCTGGGAGATGCTTAAGTCCACAAAGATGATAATACAGTGCCACAATTTCCAACAGTGGGGGCATGCTACGGCTAACTGTGGCAGGCAACCCCGCTGTCTTAAATGCGCCGGAGACCATCACACCAGCACCTGTACGAAAACTCCAGATACGCCAGCAACATGCGCAAACTGCGGGGGAGATCACCCCGCAAATGCGAAAATTACATTACCAAGCTCGAACGCATGCTAGAAAGAAGGACCAATCAAAACAGAAGCCAAAAATATGTACCCGCCCCTCAGCCTGCCATCAATCAATGGGAGGCCAGGAGACAAAACCGAAACATGCAGGACGAATTCCCAGCACTGCCCAGTAGAAACGTGAAGGAAACTACAGAAAATATAAGAATACCAGCCAGGAGACCTGATATTCCTAGAAATACAACCCCCAACGTAGCCATGGACGATTTCACGGCCCTTAATAACAAATTTCAGACATTAAACTCCATTATCAATATAGGTGAATTAACTAGGGCAGTCAGAGAACTGAACGCCAAACTCATAAAATGCACAACGGGAAGACATAAACTTACAACGCGTTCATGACGGACATAGACATTAACTTCAAGCTTCCGAAATAAATCAAGACATACATCACAGTAAAATCAGTAACATTCGTTAAAAAACATTGTAAAATGCTACTGTGGATGTTTATGCGACTGCGGAAGCGCTTTTTCTCAGTTAAGGATAGTTTCTTTGATTTCTATATTTTTCGGGGAAATTGGCGTGAGCAGGGGCATGAATGACTGCAGTATGCACTCATTACGGACATATATGACAGAAAACAGGATAAAAATTGACGTACATCCTCCTCAGCAGCGACGACCACACGGAATAGTCAAATCACTACGGCAATTAGTTACCAACTATAGTCGGATGGACGGTGACTCATTGCTCGGTGCGAAATTTCTTGGCCTGCCGGAACTTTTGTGTTGAGCGATGGTTGAACAGTGTAGTCTTGTGATTTGACTACTTCATGCACAAACTAACACGTAAACACACACTTAGGACAACCCTGTTTTTTCATTTGGTTTTTCAGGGACGACAGACACAATTAAAATCACACAAAAACTCACTACTATTCCATTACTGACCAAGTTTACAACCTTTATTGATCTATAATGCTGTTATACAGCAGGGAGAGATCGCGTTAATCACAATTTTAACTAGAGCAATGCAAGTATACGGCCACGACATCGGTCATGGCTCCGTTGGGGGTCATAGCAGAACAGGAATACTTCAGACACCCGTAGAAGAAATCCGTCTGTAATAAAATATGCTTATATTGTAATAGATACTTTTTATATGTAAATAAAGATTTTGAAACTTATGAATAATCATGAACAACAAAGAATAGATGATATCGCGCTACAAATACAAAATCTACCACCCCAAGAGGTGCCTTTAAGGGTCTTAACATCACCCTCTGAGGTTAAAACTGCCCTAACGAGGTTACGCAACAGAAAAGCCCCAGGACCTGACGATATCAACAACATACTTCTTAAAAACTTACCTAAAAAAGCAGTTGTTCAATTACACTATATAATAAACGCCATATTTAAATTGCAACACTACCCAAACTCATTAAAAATAGCCAGAATAATTCCGATACTTAAACCTCGCAAAAGTCCCAAATCTGTTGAAAGCTACCGCCCCATCTCGTTACTTTCAGTCATAGCCAAGACGATAGACAAAATAATACTGATAAGACTACACAACATTGAACAAGACAAACAAATCATCCCGAAGGAACAGTGCGGTTTCAGAGCAGGGCACAGCACTGTTTCTCAAGTAATCAGAGATGCGCATCACGCAAAAATTGAATTAAACTCCCAAAAACAAACAGTGCTGGTGGTTTTAGACACAGCCAAAGCATTTAACGCCGTCTGGACCGGAGGGTTGATAAACAAAATGTTCGTGAACGACTATCCCGTGAGTATTATAAAAACAGTACAATCTTACCTAAACAATAGACAATTCAAAGTTAAAATCAACAACGTAGAGTCAGACTATACAACGCGGTGGCTGGAGTACCCCAGGGTTCGGTGCTTTCGCCGCATCTGTATACTATTATGACTCATGACTCATAAGAGTTCTGACTTATCAGAAATTGCAAACAGAAGACTGGAGATCCACGTAAACAGAACGTTGGTCCCTTACTTAGATAAAAACAAAATGAAAATAAATCTCACAAAAACTAAGACCGCTATCATTACTAAAAAGAGAAGTCAAATCACTAATAAATTAAAAGTCCAAAGACAACAAATAGAAAGTAAAGACAATATTAAATATCTAGATATCTATCTGGATAAAGGGACTAACGTTTAGTAAACATATTAGCGACAGAATAGCCAAAACAACAGGCATGATCAACCTACTATACCCAATGCTACACAGGAGTAGTAGGGTTAGTCAAAGTAACAAAATTCTCTTATACAAACAAGTCATAAGACCCATTCTAACATATGGAGGTCCAGTTTTCTGTTCTATGGCAGATAGCCACTTCAGAAAAATGCAAGTCTTACAAAACAGGTGTCTAAGGCTGGCACTGGGGTGCGATAGATATACCAGAATAACATACCTACACGAACAGGCAAACATACCTACTATTAAACAATATAATATATACTGGACACTTCGGAGCGATTCTACAAAAAATGCCTTCCAAACAGCCTAAAAGTTGAAATTCAAAACATAAACATTAATAATAGTGCAAATAGAAGGTATGTTTGGCTGCACGAAAAGCTGGACATTTACAGACAACCACCATAACAATAAAGCGACAGACAGACTTCCAAAACATCGACAAGCACTAACTGTGCTGACTCTAACAAATCATTTCCATTCTATTAACATTGTTAGATTTCAGCGGACGTGCGCAGCGCTCAGCAGACTATGAGTTTTGCGTGGAGCACTGTTCTAACAAACCGTAGCTTTAATCATGCTCTCCTACTCTCACATGACTTACCCTTCGTGAATAAGGATTTTATAATTTTGGGCGAGTAACATACGCAGTAAGGCCAAATAATGAGAGCGGTCTTCTACATGGTTACTCTCAGTTAGTGAATATAAGTTCAGATATATTTGCCGTCGTTGACTGTTGAAAATCGATAAGTACAGTTATTTTATTCTGACGATTTGAGGTGGGAACAACTAGTACGAATTAGGTTATAAAAGTTTTCAAATCGATGTAACGGTAAAATTTACCGTTACACACACCCGAATATTGCTAAGAAAAATTATTAGCAAAGCGAATAACTTTTCGTTTAAGAAAATGGGGAAGTTATAACAGGAATAGTAAGTGAAAAAAAAAATAAGAAAGAGTTGAAAGAAATTGTGGATATCTTAAAAAATAAAAGATGTACAAAAAATTATTTAACACTTTAAAAATCGATAAGTAGTTATTTTATTTTGACGATTAAAAGTGGGAAAAAACTAGTATGAATTAGAAGGTTATAAAATAACAAAAGTTTTGAAATCTATGTAACGGTAAAATATTTACTAGGGAAGGGTAAAACAGTGACTTTTTAATAACAGGTACAGTCTGCTTCAGTTCCATAAAATACCTGTTTCAAAAAACCTGTTCCAGTTCCAAGTTGTTCCAACAATTTAAACCGTTGTTTGTTGTTTCGCGTCTGTTGCGACTTGCGAGCGCGGAGTCCCACACATACAGAAACACCGAAACCACGATACCGAAACTAAAACAAGACAGTTTTACGTCGACGGAACAGTTTAATTTTATAATGTTTCAACTGTTTCAAGGGCATCTGTCACAGTCACAGTGTAGCAGTCGCAAAAACGCAAATTTCAACTTAGTAGTTGTTATTAATTATTATTATTACACCTATTATTGCCGCGTTTGAAAATCCACATCCAATGCATTTTTTACATCTCGAGCGTTTCTTTATCCACATCGGACACATCTGTCCCACTACATTTACGTATACTGAATCACGTGATCAAAGATTTACTACATCTCAGATGCATCCGATGTGGATTCTCAAACGCGGCATATGAATATTTTTTTGCTGAAAAAAAAAAAACTAAACTAAAAACACTATTGAATAAACAACTGTTCCGTCCAACTGTTTCGTGATTCGATGCATACCAGTTCCAGTCCCACGCAATTTGCGCTCTGCAACTGTGACAGCAAGTAGCAATTTAAAATAAACTGAATCTCCGTCCACCGAAACAACTGTTTCGTGGAACAGTTTCGTGATTCGACGTATACCTGTTCCAATCTGTTCCAAGTGAAAACCTGTTTCAAAAATAACAGATACTGCTTCAGCGACACAACCCTAATATTTACCGTTACAAAAGCATGTACTACAGAATTCAAGGGCACTATACTTGGGAGCATACAGATAGAAGAGGTCCTCCAAATCCTAAACTTTCTTGGAAAGATATGATCGGAAGGGTGGTTACAGACGTCGAGACTATTTAATTGATACCTTAGCAACAGAAGGGGGCACAATAGATCATTAGGTTCCAGGATATCTGACAGCCCTAACAACATATATCACAGTAAAAAAAAGTATTGTTGGTGTATCGAAATCCGTTGTAGTAGGTTTATCTCGGAAATAACATTTTGTACATGATACAAAAATAAAATAATGACAAATCTATCGTTCCATGGTTCATATGAATAAAAATTGAAAATTTATTTTTGATAGAAGTACCTACTTAGGTATTTCACTTTTTGCAAGTAATCATAGAAAAAATAATTTAACTAGAATTATTGATATAAATAATTAAATACTTTTGCTCCAGAATCCAGAAGATCTGCTTCACGTTAAGGTAGCAAATGCTCTTACTTCCCACAATTCTAATCAGCTCATGATACATACGTGTTCATCTTGTTAATATCCAAATTGCAAATTGAAATATTA